GATAATCACATGACTTTTTTTTTTTCATAGGAAACTTTGAACTTTTAATCCACGCTGACACAGAAAATTCTGGAGTATGCTAGGTACAATTGTTAAATGTTTATGCTGAAAGGACAAAAATGGGAAGTGCCTTGGAGGATCTGCTACGCACACACCTATAAATAAAACCTGATTAACTGATGATAGCTTTGATTGAAGGACTATGAAATGGCAAAATTTAAGTTTGAGGAACTGCAGTAAAACCAGCTGCAGACTGGAGATCCCAGATTTCAGAAAGGCAGATTTTGACTTGTTTGAGTGGAAATCTTGCCTTCCTGTTCTCGGAAGCAGCAAGAGCAGGGCTCCTCCCCAGGGATGGTGACTTGGGAGCCACAGGTGACCCAGTACCACCCAGGCAGGATGCTGCACTGCTGAAACAAGCAGAACAGGGATAATGACAGCAAGAGATACTTTCAATGCTCCAGCCATCATGGGAGAAGCTGATGCAGTCAGTGAGGTCCAAAACAAAATGGTGGCAAAGAAAAATGACAGTTCATCAACAGCTGGATGAGGGTTTACTTACAGCATAGCTTCCTGTGTCCATGCAGGCAGGGGACTGGCTAGCTAAGGATCTCTACAGGAAGAGACTGCTGACTGAATCACCAGTACATCTTGCAGAGATGAAGGCTAATTGAATATTGGACTGCATTATAGGATTACAGCCAGCAGGTTGGAGGAAATTATTTTTTTTTATTTTCTACTTACCAGTTGAGAGTCTTTATCTTGAATATTGTACCACTTATGGCCTCCCTGCTGCAGGAGAAATATTGATAAGTTGGAGAGAGTGGGTAGAGAATTTAACTCTGAGGAAAAAAACACTAAAGGAGGATCTAATTGTTCTTTTCCAGTATCTAACAGGTGACTATAGAGAAAGAAGTGCTGAAATATTTTCAGGCAGAAATTAAAAAAGCAATTGGTGCAACTAGTTGCAAAACCAGAAATTCTGACTGGAGAAAAAGTCGTCAAAAAACTTGTTAAACACTGCAACAGATTGCCCCAGAAGGTTGTGGAATCTGTCCTCAGAGATATTTAAAACTTGATTGATTATGGCTCTCAGCAACCTGATTTAACTTTGAATTTAACTATGCCTTGACTAACTGACTTCCAGAGGTCATTTCTAAACAGTTGAGTGGTCTTGGAGCAAGGCAAACAGCTTGGAGTAGATTGATGAAATCCACACAGAGCTCTCTCACATCCAAGCCAAGTTTTAGCTAATTTATGAGTACACATAAGAAAGCTAATCCAGATATGTCATGTACCTGCTGTGAGTAACTTACAACACTTGTAGGTCAACACACTCATTCCTAGCCAGGGTCTGCCATGTGCCAGCTCAGTTCTCCTACCTCTGTCACACTCCTGCCTAGCAACATGTATCCTGGCTTACATACAATATCCACCATCCAGAAAGACTGAAAATACTGCTTTCCTCCTCTTTATGGTTCCTGGGATGTATGCCTTTTTCAAGGGCCAAAACAGGAGCAGATTTGGCACTATCTGCCTGCTAAGAGTCTCTCTTCTGCCACTGTGTAATCATTACTGAAAGTCAGGTGCTGGGCCAGCTAGAAGATTTTGCTGGCTGCCTCAGGGAGGTTCTGGCAAAATAATGCTATTGAGGTAGGTGACCACTGCTTACCTCATCTTCCCTTGATCTGTATAGATGCCTTCAATATTATGAAATAACTGTCTTGCCAGATTCATCTGGAAATTCTGAGGAATGCAAGACTTCACTGACATTTCTAAAAATGAATTAATGGAAAATATACTCTCCAAGCACATTTTGCCCCGGGGTCAGCTTAGTTTAGGTATATCTGTGCACTAAAGCAACTCTTTAATTTATGTACCATAGCGATGTCTGAAAAAATGAAGCTTATCAGTTTTTCATAGGCTTTCTGGGACACTCACTCCAAAAAAATACCCTGTGAAATCAGAAACTCAAGCACTAAAAATACCTCCTGAACCTGCCTTTAGGCCAGCTACAGTTTGTGACTAAAGATTTTGCTGTACTAACTTTGGGGCCTGAGAGAGGTAGAATGGAACTTCATTTTCTTTTTGAAATGGGATAGTCTTGAACAGCCAAAGAGATGGTATTTACCCTCCCTTCTATGTTATTCCTGCTGCCTTTTCCAATATGGGGGTACTTAGAAATCTTCCAGGAGAATCTGTCTTTAAGATCAGTTTTGTTAAGACTTCTGTCCTGAACAGATAGCATTGTGTCCCAGAGGTTCCTGAGATATGTCTGCTGCCTAGTTTAAAAGATATGTAGATGAAAACTCAGACACTCACTCTGATGGGAAAAATCTCTGAAGATAAGTTATGGGAGTTTTCTTGGGAAAAGACATATTCAGCTGGGAGATGTGCTGGAGTTGGACAGAATGTAAATGGGGATTAAAAAAATCTATATGAAGTGAAATAAAATTGGAGGGTTCACTCTAAATTCAGTAGTAGTGGCATGACCTCATTTGGTCATCTGTGCCTTCAGGCATGCCTAATTTTCATGTTTTACGGGAAAAACACCTCCAATTCCTTTTTTTCCCCTCCCTTATGTTTATTCCTTTAATGAGTTTTTGGGGGGCTTTTTTTCTACAGAAAATACATAGGAGTTTGAAATTAAATGATCCCAGAATGCAACTCTGAAGTGTGCACTGGAAATTCCTTCTGACTCCACTGCAGTGAACAACTTGTGCCAGAGGCATGCTATCTAATTACCATGCACTTTCTTGACTAGTATTGTGGGGAGGGAAAAGGCAGTGTGCGATCAACTGAAATATGAAACAATAAAACAAATTAAACCACATGAAGTAAGAGGAGGAAAAATGAGATGGGAGTTGTTTTTGTTAAATGTTTACTGTTCGTACACTGCCTGAGGCTTAAATTCTTGACTGTTAGAGGATTGTCCTAGGGTGACGTTATGATGCTTGTATCCCCATTCATGTGTTCTGTTAATATTGGATATTATGTTCTGTACCTTTAAGACCGGCTCTGAAGAGGGAAAGTTTTGTTTTGGTTTTCTTATCAGCCTGGCGGGACACGGAGACTGCGGCTTTTGCTTTTGCTGCTTTTGCTTTTTGCTTTTGCTCTCTCGCTCTTGCTCGCTTTGCTTCTGCTTGCTTTTGCTCTTTAGCTAATTCAGCTAAACTGTCCAATTTCTTCCTGGACGGTTTCTCCTTTCCTTTTTCTGATCACTTCGAACCTGCTCCGGACTGGGACCTGAGAAACACCAAGATCCTGCACCTTCTGGCCTGCAGCAGCAGCCCCAGCGCCGGAGGGACTGAGACCAGAGTGACCACCCCCAGAGAGACTTTCTGAATTTGTCATCTTTTTCAGAGTGGTGTCATCCGGTATTGTTCATTTTGTGTGCTGGGGGGTGCTGTGCTTGTTAAATAAACAGGTTCTTTCCACTCCTCTCCGAGAAATCCTTCCCGAACCGGTTGGGGGGAGGGGCTGTGTGGGTTTGCTAACTGGAGGAGCCCTAATTTGGAGATTCTCCTCCAAATTTGCCCTAAACCTCGACAAAATCTTGGCGCCCAACGTGGGGCTCGAGAGAGTGAGTGGAAAAAGCCTGTTTTGTGGGTATTTTGGTTGCCATTACTCTCTGTTTGAAGCAGCTAATAGCCATGCTTTTTGAATTCATGATGAGTGTTGGGGTGAAGGCTTGCATGTGCTTCTGGTCCCTAGGGTTTTTCGAGATTTTAATACCTCTGTGGTCCCTAGGTTTATTTTCCTATCCTGAAATAGTTCTAGTATTGTCCCTCATACGTAGTTTTTACAGCAGAGGGGCAGTGACCAGAATGGCTATCCTGCTGGGCTTGATGGCAATGATGTGCAAGAAGTTTATAAACATGTTGGGGTCTGCTCCAGGTATGAATGGTTCTTGGCTATGGTTATTCGTCCAGTTTGTTAGAGGAGGAGCAGCAGGGAATGAGGCTTTTCAGCCTTTGGTTTCCTTCCTCTCCTATGAATCGGTTGCGTCAGTAGTAAAGGATGTTCAGTTTCCCCTGAATGTTAGAGAAACCATCTTTCTTGTATTCAATCTGGTAACCTTCCTCTATACAGTCTGCTGTCTCTCCAGAATGAGGGCTGAGATTTCTAGACGGGCTGATGAGACCCCTGACTTAGGAGTAGACCCAGGTGTGAAACATCCTGAGTGGTGTGGGAAATGGGAGGAAATGGGCCACATCCTGAAGGAATTCTCCGACCCTATAGTCTGGGATTTTCCCCATAAACAAATTCAGAACCCAGCTGAGGTGGGGAAATATCTGAAAGAGAAATACCAGGATGAGCCTAAGGAGAGAAAGGTCATTGCAGTGAGCTGGGCCCTGGCATATGCTTATCGCACTCTGTTGGAGACTGTAGGACAGCAGACGGAGGCAGGGGGGCAGGGAGATAAATCAGCTATCCCAGTCACTCAGGCTGCAGCCAACACCACAGGCTCAAAGCCAGCAGCCAAACCAGATAGTGAGCCTAAGCCAGCAGCTAAACCAATGGCTGTTGCTACCAGTACCAGAAGTGGGAAATGCACAGACAAGACCAATCGACCAGTGGATGATGATGATGATGATGATGCAGCAGAAGGAACCTCAATGCCTCCTGACATAAAATCAGGAGTCAAAGCAGCAGGTGCAAGACCAGATGCAAATATTGAGTCCTTTTCCCTGAAGGACCTTCGTGGCTTACGGAAGGATTACACCCGACGACCTGATGAATCCATAATTAGTTGGTTAGTCCGTCTCTGGGATGCTGCAGGCGAGGCTACAATTCTGGATGGCACAGAAGCGAGGCATTTGGGATCCCTGTCACATGATCCTGTCATTGACCAAGGAATGATGAGGGGGGCAAACCCTCAGAGCCTCTGGGCACGGGTCTTGGAAAGTGTTGCACAAAGATACCTGTGTGCAGATGATCTTTATATGCAACAGACACAGTGGAAGACCATAGAGCAAGGGATCCAACGCCTGAGAGAGATGGCAGTGGCAGAGATTATCTTCTCAGATGATGTGACAACTAGGAACCCAGACTTGGTGCCATGCACGTCTGTGATGTGGCGGAAACTTGTGCGACTTGGGCCACACGAATATGCTTCTGCCCTAGCCATAATGAAGCGGGATGAGAGGGACGAGACTGTGCTGGATATGGCAAGGAAGCTCCGAGCATATGCAGATGCTGTGCATGGCCCAACACATGCCAGAATTGCAGCGGTAGAAACACGTCTGCAGAACTTAGAGGATAAGATAGAGGAGAATCATAAGAAGCTCAGAGAGGAGATTAAAGAAGACCTTCTCCAAATCTCGGCAGTACAGATCAGAGGTTCTGGTATCCAAGGCAGACGTTCCCCAGATGGCCAGAGAAGGTACACCCCACGAACAGAGCTGTGGTTCTACCTGCGTGACTGTGGAGAAAATATGAGGAGGTGGGATGGAAAACCTACTGCTGTTCTGGCACGACGGGTGCGTGAATTGAAGGAAGCCACCAGGAAGAAAGCAGCTCCAGTTGCCCGTAGCCGAACCGCCAGGTATGATGCTGATGATGCCATGTCTGATCCCCTTGAAGGAACATCTAAGACATATGCCCAGGGAAAGAAGGATAACCAGGCTTAGAGGGGCCCTGCCTCTAGCCAGGTAGAGGCCAGGGAAAATCGTGTTTTCTGGTCTGTGTGGATTCGTTGGCCTGGCACATCGGAACCACAAGAGTATAAAGCTTTGGTTGATACTGGCGCACAATGTACATTAATTCCGTCGAGACATGTGGGGACAGAGTCTGTTTCTATTGCTGGTGTGACAGGGGGATCCCAGGATTTCACTTTGGTGGAAGCTGATGTGAGCCTCACTGGGAATGAGTGGAAGAAACATCCTATTGTGACTGGCCCAGAGGCCCCATGTATTTTGGGCATAGACTACCTTCGAAGTGGGTATTTCAAAGACCCAAAAGGACTCAAGTGGGCATTTGGGATAGCTGCTGTAGAGACAGAGGGCATCCAGCAATTGAACACCTTGCCTGGGCTGTCTGAGAATCCATCTGCAGTAGGATGTCTGATGGGAGAAGATCAACAAGTGCCAATTGCCACCTCCATAGTGCATCGACGACAGTATAGAACCACTCGAGATGCTGTGATCCCCATCCATAAGATGATCCGTGAGCTGGAGAGCCAAGGGGTGGTCAGCAAGACCCACTCACCCTTCAACAGCCCCATTTGGCCTGTGCGAAAATCTGAAGGAGAATGGAGATTGACTGTGGACTACCGTGCATTGAATGAGGTGACTCCACCACTGAGTGCTGCTGTGCCAGACATATTAGAGCTCCAGTACGAGCTTGAGTCCAAGGCAGCGAGGTGGTACGCCACTATAGACATTGCCAATGCATTTTTCTCCATTCCTCTGGCAGCAGAATGCAGGCCTCAGTTTGCTTTCACATGGAGGGGAGTGCAGTATACCTGGAACCGACTGCCCCAGGGGTGGAAGCACAGTCCCACCATCTGCCATGGACTGATCCAGACTGCACTAGAAAGGGGTGAGGCTCCAGAACATCTGCAATATATTGATGACATCATTGTGTGGGGGAACACAGCTGTGGAAGTGTTTGAGAAAGGAAAGGAAATCATCCAAATCCTCCTGGGAGCTGGTTTCGCCATTAAAAAGAGCAAAGTAAAGGGACCAGCTCGTGAGATTCAGTTCCTGGGAGTGAAGTGGCAAGATGGACGGCGTCAGATTCCTACAGACGTCATCAACAAGATCACAGCAATGTCTCCACCCACCAATAAGAAAGAGACACAAGCTTTCCTAGGTGCCATAGGCTTTTGGAGGATGCACATTCCTGAGTATAGTCAGATCGTGAGCCCTCTTTACCTGGTCACCCGCAAGAAGAACACTTTCCACTGGGGCCCTGAGCAGCAACAGGCCTTTGTCCAGATCAAGCAGGAGATAGCTCATGCAGTAGCTCTTGGCCCAGTTAGGACAGGACCAGATGTGAAGAACATGCTCTACTCTGCAGCCGGGAACCATGGCTTGTCCTGGAGCCTTTGGCAGAAGGTGCCTGGGGAGACTCGAGGTCGACCACTGGGATTTTGGAGTCGAGGCTACAGAGGCTCTGAGGCCAACTACACTCCCACAGAGAAGGAAATCTTGGCTGCCTATGAAGGAGTCCAAGCCGCCTCAGAGGTGATTGGTACAGAAGCGCAGCTCCTCCTGGCACCCCGACTACCGGTGCTGGGGTGGATGTTCAAAGGCAAGGTTCCTTCCACTCACCATGCCACCAGTGCCACATGGAGCAAGTGGATTGCTCTTATCACTCAGCGCGCCCATATAGGTAAACTAAATCGCCCTGGGATTTTGGAGGTAATTACAAATTGGCCCGAAGGTGAGAATCTTGGTGTCACAGATGAAGAACAGGAACCAGTGACACGGGCTGAAGAGGCTCCTCCATATAACCAACTGCCCCCAGAGGAAACACGCTATGCTCTTTTCACTGACGGTTCCTGTCGCATCTTAGGGATGAACCGGAAGTGGAAAGCAGCCGTATGGAGCCCCACACGACAGGTTGCACAAGCTACTGAAGGAGAAGGTGGATCAAGTCAACTTGCAGAACTCAAAGCCGTTCAACTGGCCCTGGACATTGCAGAAAGAGAGAAATGGCCAAAGCTCTACCTCTACACTGATTCATGGATGGTAGCCAATGCTCTGTGGGGATGGCTGGAGAGGTGGAAAAAGGCTAACTGGCAGCGTAGAGGAAAACCAATTTGGGCTGCTGATGAGTGGAAAGACATTGCTACCAGGGTAGGGAGGCTACCTGTGAAAGTCCGCCATGTAGATGCCCATGTCCCCAAGAGTAGAGCCAATGAGGAGCACCAAAACAATGAGCAGGTAGACCAGGCAGCAAAGATAGGGGTGTCAAAGATAGACCTAGATTGGGAACACAAGGGAGAGTTATTCCTAGCTCGATGGGCCCATGATGCCTCAGGCCATCAGGGCAGAGATGCCACCTATAAGTGGGCAAGAGACCGAGGGGTGGATTTAACCATGGACAGTATTTCACAGGTTATCCATGACTGTGAGACGTGTGCTGCCATCAAGCAGGCCAAGCGAGTGAAGCCCCTGTGGTACGGTGGGCGATGGTCCAAGTACAAGTATGGGGAGGCCTGGCAGATAGACTACATCACACTGCCCCTGACACGCCAGGGCAAGCGTTACGTGCTGACCATGGTGGAAGCCACCACTGGATGGTTGGAAACCTACCCTGTGTCTCATGCTACTGCCCGGAACACCATCCTGGGCCTGGAAAACCAAATCCTGTGGAGACATGGTACCCCTGAGAGGATTGAGTCAGACAATGGGACTCATTTCAAGAACAGCCTTATCAGCACCTGGGCTAGCGAACATGGCATTGAGTGGGTGTACCATATCCCCTACCATGCACCAGCTGCAGGCAAAGTGGAGAGGTACAACGGACTACTAAAAACCCAGCTAAAAGCTTTGGGTGGGGGATCTTTCAAAAATTGGGAGCAGCATTTAGCAAAGGCCACCTGGTTAGTTAACACCCGAGGTTCCACCAACCGAGCAGGTCCTGCCCAGTCTGAGTCCCTGAATGTAATAGATGGAGATAAAGTCCCAGTGGTACGTGTCAGAGGTTTGTTAGGGAAGACTGTGTGGGTCAATTCTGCCTTGAGTACAGACAAACCCATTCGTGGGGTTGTCTTTGCTCAGGGACCAGGTTGCACATGGTGGATAATGCAAAGAGATGGAACAACACGATGTGTACCACAGGGAGATCTGATTGTGGGGTGAGAAAACCATACAGACATAAGATAGAAGGAAATGTGTAAGTGTTGAAGGTCTGGGCAAGTGGGAGATGGAGAAGGAGATGGGCAAGTGTCGAAGGTCTGAGCAAGTGATAGATGGAGCTTTGAGTGAGTAAGGTGAAAGGGGTGAAATCCTGCCGCCCTGTAGTATAGGGCATGGATTCAGTGGTCCAGTGTGGGGATGTGATGAGGACATAATGAGTGTTGCTTGTAAATTGTGGGGGAGCAGATGAAAATTTTGTATGAATAAATGCATGATGTGTGGTAGTATGTTGATGATATGGGGATAAGGGGTGGAATGTCCTAGGGTGACGTTATGATGCTTGTATCCCCATTCATGTGTTCTGTTAATATTGGATATTATGTTCTGTACCTTTAAGACCGGCTCTGAAGAGGGAAAGTTTTGTTTTGGTTTTCTTATCAGCCTGGCGGGACACGGAGACTGCGGCTTTTGCTTTTGCTGCTTTTGCTTTTTGCTTTTGCTCTCTCGCTCTTGCTCGCTTTGCTTCTGCTTGCTTTTGCTCTTTAGCTAATTCAGCTAAACTGTCCAATTTCTTCCTGGACGGTTTCTCCTTTCCTTTTTCTGATCACTTCGAACCTGCTCCGGACTGGGACCTGAGAAACACCAAGATCCTGCACCTTCTGGCCTGCAGCAGCAGCCCCAGCGCCGGAGGGACTGAGACCAGAGTGACCACCCCCAGAGAGACTTTCTGAATTTGTCATCTTTTTCAGAGTGGTGTCATCCGGTATTGTTCATTTTGTGTGCTGGGGGGTGCTGTGCTTGTTAAATAAACAGGTTCTTTCCACTCCTCTCCGAGAAATCCTTCCCGAACCGGTTGGGGGGAGGGGCTGTGTGGGTTTGCTAACTGGAGGAGCCCTAATTTGGAGATTCTCCTCCAAATTTGCCCTAAACCTCGACAAGGATTTTACAGTTTTATGGATACCATCAGAAGATTTTAAAGTATTGTGGTTGGTATTACAATTCTTGTTGAAAGTGCACATTCCTTGCTTCTCAAATACTATATCTAGTTTGGTGGTTTATTATGTGTTTCTTGAAAATCATCCTTCAGCCATTCTTAGCTCTAAACCCAATAATAACTAGACTGATTTATCCAAAAAACAAATGCTATTGGAAACTCTCCATATTCCTTTTCACTTTTAAAAACCTTACTCTTTTCCATAATTCACTTAGCAAAATCCTTTGCAAAGCCTCTGGTTTCCAATAAAGGAATAATTGTTGTTGAAGACTGAGAAAAAATTCTGCTTCTAGTCACAACTTTGTAATTATTTCCTCAAGCTCTGTCTTCTATTAATTATGAATTTATTTAGAAAACAGCCTGCTCATCAATAGTTTAGTAGCAAAGAAAAAGAAAGAATCTTTATAAAAAGAAAAACATGTCTCAAAAATCAATTTTAATTTTTTTTTTTTTTGTAGTACAGATATAAGTTTCTGTGTCCCTTTGGAAAATTAATGCAATCACAAGCCATTAGTAGAAGACTAAAAGTTTTCCTCCATTCACCTGCTTTCTCTCATCAGATACATTTCAGCTAAAAGATTACCACATATTAACTGATACACACAGTATGAATGCAAGTGAAATGAAACACACATAAAATATTTTGCAGCTCTGCAGAGAAGTATGAAATTGCTTGCAGAGTTTAATCTACATTTGGTATTCTTTGATGGGTCAGATACCTCATTTCTTACATACAATAATGGAAAGTGTGTGACTGCCGACCATTCCCACAATAGTCAGTATTGAACTTTGTTGCTAATACAAGCAATTTGCCAGCATGATCTATCCACTTGGGTGCTAAAAATTCCTGAAATTTTTAAATTTGGACTAAACTGATGACATTGTTTCTTTTTGTGCATATATTTTTCTAAGCTTCCTCAAAATCCTAGACAGAAGTCAGAATTTCAATCATGTTACCTCACCACCTCACCCATGCAGCAGTGATGAGAGCAAACACATCAGGGGCAGGCTTAAAACTCAGTTACAAATTGCCTGGGCTAGACAACATCTGGAAAGAAAAGCTTCTTCTTTTCTTCTTCTTTTTTTTTTTTTTTTTTTGACAAACACAAAACTTTGCAATTTCGTTTTATGGCAGAGTAATGATCTGCAGTTAATTCACAGTTATATGACCAAGCAATCCTTTCCATTGTGAGATGCTTAATAGAAATATTAAAAAGAGAAGGGTGTGGACAAGAAAATTTGAATTCCCATTGTTACATAAAAATACTAATCATAAGTGTTGCAGTGCATCAAGCTGTTTTCTGCATCAAGTTTTTTTTCTGAGGGGGTTCCTTGGGGCTCAGTCTCTTTAACTACAAACCATCACTGTAATTCCATTTGAAAAGCTGAAACTGTTGAAGTAAACCTCTGCCTGTTAAGAAACCAAAGAAAAATCAGGGGTCATGATCAGAGGTAGAATAAATAGATAAACCACATCTGTCTGTGTTTATCTTTCAATTAATCTGGTTAGCAGTACATAAAATATGGGTAGGAAGGATGTGACATTCCATGGAACAGGCACAGCATCAGGATGGAAAATCTGTCAGCCCAAGAGCTGTTAGCCTTGTGAGGCAATAGTATAAGGGAAAGAGTGATTGTTACTTCTTGGTCTGAAGTCTTCTTTTTCCCAACAATAAGTATGTAACTGGTCTGCAAAGGATATTGTCCTCTGGATTAAAGTTTCTTTCAGAGCATGAAGCAAACCCATTCTGTTTTGGTGAGTTAGGGCTGAATGACCCCATGATGGGGCATGGCAGCATATTCACCATAGGCTGATATTAAAGACAAATAAAATCTTCACTGATGCTCTCAATTTCATTCTCTCTGTCACAGAAGAGATGCATTTAGTACATTTATAACAGCAGAGCTGAATTTTTAATTTGAGATTCATCAGTCCCGCTTTTCCAGTATTGTTCAGATCCCTATAGTGCACTGCTACAGAGAATCATTTTAGGAAGGACAACAACTTAGGAAGGAGAGGGGTCTGTTGAAGTTATAGTGCTTTTTGGGGATAATTATTTGCATGGATTGCCCCACTCCACCCAGCTTGCTTGACATTTTGCAATTTTCTGAATAATTCTTTTTTGTATGAATGTTATTTATGTATGCTAATGTATGATTATGTATGTATGGTATTTATCTAAAAGCTAAATAAGAACTCTCTTTTCATTTCTGATTTTCTGAAAATGAACTTAGTGTGTTACTATGCTCTAATATGACTACTGTATTATAATCACTTTCTAATCATTATACAGTTTCTTGAACAAAACAATCTGGTAAAATTAGAATTCCCTCTTATGCTGATAAATCTCTATCAATAACATTAAGCTGTTACTATATTCGTCTCAATTTAAGATAAAAAAATATTTTCTGAAGCTTTTAGATGACATTTAACAGGCATGAAGTATATAATTGCAGAGAGTAAAATGGAATGGCTTGCAAAAGATTGCCTCACAATATTGCACTCAAATATTAAAAAAATATTTGCACTGTTTGCTTGACACTAATTTTTGATTATTAAATATGAATCTTCCATGGAAAACCAGGAATGGTATTTTTTAATTTAATAATTGAATGTTTCACTTTTATTTCTTAACAAAAAAATTCTGGAAAGAATTCTGGATAGATAATTCTGGATAGTAGGATAAGGCTAGAAAATTTTGTATGTTCCCAGCTACACTCCTTATTTTAATGTTGTGGAATACTTGCGCACAATACTCATTCTTTTAATAAGACTTCTCATATCAGTGAACAAACTAGGATCCAGCAGGGATTTGTTTTCCTTTTATTTACATCATTAGCAGCACTACAGATTTGGCATATAAAGTCAGCTGGAAAAGCACAATATTTTTGTGTGCATACCTTCTTTTTAATGAAGCCACAGGACAGTATTAAATTAGCTTTGTAATCTAGTACTTTTTATCAGTAAATAAATGAATTACTGTCTTCCATCTGACCACATTTCAATACCCTACAAATGCATGATGAAAGATTAAACTTACATAAATTATTTTAGATAGCAAAAAGCTTTTCATATGGAATTCCATAATACTAATACCAGTCTAGAAAAAAAGTCATATGAAACTTTAATTTATATTTATGAGAATAAAGAAAAGAAAAAGAGTATTTTCCCTACTTTGATAATAAAGGGATGTGGTAAAACGTCTTCTTTTATGTAGAATTCCTATTGATTTTAATAAGGATCTCTACCTCATGACTGACTGATAGTAAGAAATGTGGATGTCATTATCTCTACATTAATTTCTGCAAAAATCAGCCAAGTTTTGAGGTTTTACATCAGTCAGATGAGGAAAAAAACAACAATTTATTATAGCATTTATCAAATAAGACAAAAACTTCTATTTGTTAACCAGCTATACTACAGACAGTAAAATTATGTGTAGTTCTTCAGAAGAACTGAAGAAATCAGGGATTTCATCTATGTAAAATGGAAATAAGCAGGAAAAGGTTGTGTATGAAGCTCTTAAAAATAATGTAGTGAAGATCACAGCCACATGCCCACTTCTTAACCTCTGCTTAGCCCAGAGTGGATGGAAAGAAGGGAACAGAAGAGAGGAGTGAGAAGACAGGCTGCAATCTCTCACATCTGGAAAGGAGTCAATGAGCAGGACTCCCCCAGGTAGCCATCTACCACTCTGCCTGCCTCCAAGTATTGCCAAGAACTTCTAACCTGAAATCTTAGGATGGTTTGTAAGTCTTTAGAACACAAGTTCTTAGATTTCCCACGACATCAATTAGACAATGCTGGTTGCGCCCCCACACAATATGACAGAAAAATTGACAGAAAAAGATGAAAATGCCCAGCAACCAAAGGGACAGAGCAGAACAATTGTCTCAAAGCCTCACAATATGATTAAGCTTAACTCCACACTTCCTGCTAACATGTTTAGACAGGAAAAAGATGCTGTGATATGATTGGTGATGTTGAGCTCTTTCTTAAGTGCCAGCAACAGTTCCATTTGGTCACCTTTTAGCTCAATGAACTTGAGTATTGTGAGCTTTTGGTTCAAGCCAGATGCTATTGAAAATTTAAGGCAGTAACTATTCCATTTTCCAGTCTTATCTATTTTTCTATCTCTCACAGAACATGTCCAGATTGCTTCTGTAGTGCTGCCAAGAAAGTAATATATCCCTACATGTCGCTCTCAGAATTAACAATGCAGCAGGACTTCCTGTCCTAGAAGAGATTTGCAGTCATAATTCTATGTCTTGGCATAATTAGAAGCATTTTCCTAACCAAGAAGTTAGGGCCAGCACTGGGACATATGTCCAAGCTACTGCAGCTTTCAGCCCTTCCCTTGGTGCACAGGATTTAACTTCCTCTAAAATTCTGTTAAATTCTTCAGAGATACTCCAAGGTTGCCCCAAGAGCCTGGAGGCAATGTCTCTGATTTCAGGATGACAAAGGACTGATGTCTAAAGGACCAGATCCATTGGCATATGCCTCTGAATGAGTCAGATCATGACTGAGTTTGGAAAGAAAGGCTGTGGTCTTTTGTGGAAAGAAGAGAAAAAGAAGGTGACAAAAAAAGGGTTTTGGTGAAAGTGCTTCCTTTCCATGAACTACATAGATCAAGTTGTATGTGGCATGTACATATCGTCTGTAGAGGCCTGTTGTGTTTACTGAGACTCACCAGCATGGCCATGTGTACTGCTCTCACACATCAAATGCTGAGGCATTCTTCCTGAGAGGCCAACAGCCTCAGGGTGTGAGAAGGTCCAGTTAGGACTGTGTTGACAGTTCTGGCTGGTGAACCTCAGGAACTTGATTC